ACCTCAAAGTGCACGAGTGACCAACTTCAGCGTTGGCTGTGATTTTGAAGCTGAAATCGCGTTCGGTGTGAACGCAGCATAACAGCTCTGTTGTCCTCCATCCATATTTTCAGTTCCAGGCCGAGTCATTTCTACCTTCTCCTCTCTGTCAACGCTCTCTGGTTTCATTTAAAAGAGTCGATTATCAGATATTGTCCAAGATTAACCTTCAGGGTGGATATAGCTCGCACACACCAAGGACCTGTCCACGTCAGCATTTACCCAGAATGCTTTGCTTGTAAATAAAATGGCTCCGTCCGTGTTAAAATATAATTTTAAAAATTTACAAAACTAAACAGCCTACAGTATTTTCACAGCCTTTAATTTACAGTTAAAATACATGTTTATCAAGTATGTTACAACTAATCGGGGATCCCTTTAAAGATGAGATTTTTATAAAAAAAACATTCAACATCTTTAATCTTAGCTCACACTAACAACAGGATGAACATGTAAAGAGGAAGACATCATCGCCGTGTTTTCAGCTTCCAAGCACAAAAATATTATTAGAATGTCAGCAGACCTTGAAATACATTGGCTAGACACTAAATGTTGCTCAAGCTGCACCTGCTGCCACGTCACCCGCAGATAACGACAGCATAAGTGGCTGAAAATAATTTCTCCAGGAATGTTGTTTTCATTGAAACCGAAGTTTAATAAAGTGTGAATTACTGCATCAGACGTTTCTGTGAAGTGAGAAGATGATCTTTATCTTGTTTTGTTTTTTTCGGTGACTATATCTGCCCCTAGTTGAAACCCCTCACCTTCCCATGCACAAAAAATAAAAAAATAGAAACAACACAAATTGGGGTCTGATTGATACAGCACTTAGTCAAAAAGGAAACATACATGATGAGACGACCAGACCTTGTAGACGTGGGTTTTGAACATAACGTAGAAAACACAGAAAGAAGGTTGTTTGTGTGCAAACGCTGAGAAAGCAACTCACTTAGAGCCCTTATCGCTCTGCGGTCCGGTTCAGGGAAATGGTCAGAAAAAGAAAAAAACTCTGATTGTGCCTTTTATGAAGACAGACGTGTGTAATAGTACATGCACGTACTTTACATGTGAACACACCTTAAACGTCAGACATGAGTCCGGATGCCTCTAATGGGAGGAAGAGATTTTAATGTAACTATCAATGCGCCAAAACCCGTGTGTCAACCGACATGTATACATTCTGTGGTTTTCTCCCTGGCATCTCTACAGAGTAGCCTAATGTGAAGTAATGGCTGGATTTGAATATTTTATCACTATATAAAGGGGGCAAGGCAGACGGACCAATATGGA